AGATTTTATGAGCGCTGTTCAAAGCTGCCCCACGTTCAAAGGTGCCCCCCTCTCCCCTATAGTTTCACTCGGTTTTAGGTAAATGTTCCATCAAAGTCCCTGCATATCTTTTGATTTGCACGAATTTTGGTATAGCGTACTGAATTAAGTCTAGAATGATGTGTGCTAAGTTTCGTGAAAATCGTTTCAGATTTAGACATAGCTCCCATATATAGTTTCGTCCGATTTTATGTAAATGGTGCACCAAAGTCCCTATATATCCTTGGATTTGCACGAAATATGGCACAGGGTACGGAATTAAGTCTAGAGTGATGTGTGCTAAGTTTCGTGAAAATCGATTCAGATTTAGATATAGCTCCCATATATAGTTTCGTCCGATTTTATGTAAATGATGCACCAAAGTCCCTATATATCCTTGGATTTGCACGAAATTTGGCATAGTGTACTTTATTAAGTCTAGAATGATGTGTGCTAAGTTTCTTGAAAATCGGTTCCGATTTAGATATAGCTCCCATATATAGTTTCGTCCGATTTTATGTCAATGGTGCACGGAAATCCCTATATATCCTTGGATTTGCACGAAATTATGTAAATGTTGCATGGTTGACACGAAACGTATCAATAGCCCTGTTGAATACACCCAAAGTAGTGAAAGGTATCATAAAGTTGGCCCTGTTCGACTTTACTACTTTCCTTACTGGGTTTTATCGAAAAAATGCAGGTTCGTATTTTTTACAAAGTAAAGAAAATTTAATTAATATAATAATTAATGCAGGCGATTTTTTTTACACATTTTTATATATCGAAATTATTTTTTTCCAAATTATACCAGACACTAAAATTGTTATTGAAAACTATTTGTATTTATGGATGAAAAAAATATATATAGCTCACATAAAAATCAAAATATTTCTAGAAAACCCTCAGTATTTGCCTTTGATGTTAAATTAATGATAGAAAATTATGTGTAGAAAACAAATCTATAAACAATATTTTAAATCATATAGAATATATACGACTGATGTGTGCAAAGAATAAACAAATTATGTTTATCAATATTCATGGAGGATAATTTTCTTATTGACTTTTTACGAAAACTCTATATTTTAAATTGAGAATAGAGTTATATATTATAGGTTCTCTGCAAAAACTGTTTCATTTACAGCTAAAAATATAATATATGAATTAAAACTATTTTTTGTTCCACCTATCTACGTTGCCTCATGTTTTTAGGAATTGTATATTTAAAACAAAATATTTCACTCTCTTAAATGAAATAAATATTTATCCCAAAATGGCTTGCATGATTTGTAAGTCATTTATAACTCTAAGTAAAATATTTCAGTTATTAGCATATTTCCGATGCATTACATATCATTTTGTTTGTGCTAATCAAGGCTTATTTCATTAGGATTTCAAGATTTTGTTTTATTTGAACAATTTTTTTTTTCGTTTACAATTACACATTTTCTTTATTAATTTGAACAAGGATAATGTTAATAAAATTAAAAAATAAAAACAAATTATAACACTTAATTGCAAATGTCCAAAAAAAATATTTAAATAAATACAAAATTACAAGCAGAAAACTGAAAAAAATCTCCATTTTTAAATCGATTTCATATATGTGAACATATGGTGCGTATAAGTAATGACCGCACTCATACGACCTAATATACCTAAAAAGAATTTGGTGAATATTTACAATATCAGAAACAATTCAATGAAAACACAAAAAAAAATTAATAATAATTCAAAAACTTTTAAAAGAAGTGAATAGAAGAATTACATAACATCACTGCAGTTAATAAAACAATTTTCATAGGCGATGTGTGAACTATGTGCAGTTGCTTTTTTAAATACTCTTCTAACTATAATAGATTGAGAAATTGTGTTCTTTTTGGAAAGGAGTTAAATCACATTTATTGAATTATTTATTTTACTTATACAATTGACTGCCATAACCTATTCGATCGGATGTACAGAAATACAAATAATTAGATGTTCAAATGAGGGTATTAAAAGACGTTCAAAAATGCTTAATTTACGAAGAAGTCCCCACGATAGTTGAACTTTTGAAAAGTGCTAGTCTTAATGCAATCAGAAAAATGTTGATGTATATTTTTATACCCTTCACCACACTGTGGTACAGGGTATTATGTCTTTGCAAAAGGAAACGAGATAGACATATGGTTCCTTTTAAGAATATGCACAGAATCACTTTTTAAGTCGATTTATGCATGTCCGTCCGTCCGTCTGTCTGTCCATGTTAAATTGTAAACAAAGTACACGTCGCATTTATGATCCGAATTGGATGAAATTTGGCATATGTCACTTATTTGGCCCAAGGACGAACCCTATTGAAATTGGGGAAAAATCGGTTCAGCTTTAGATATAGCTCTCATATATATTTTTGTCCGATTTAAGGTAAATGGTGTACCAAAGTCCCTATATATCTTTCGATTTGCACGAAATTTGGTATAGCGGACTGAATTAAGTCAAGAATGATAAGTGGTAAGTTTCCTGAAAATCGATTCAGATTTAGATATAGCTCCTATATACTTTTAATTAAGATTTTATGTAAATTGTGCACTAAAGACCCAAAGTTTGTCCGATTCCCACGCAATTTTGTACAATGAACTGTGCACAATGTAGTGGAAAGTTTTGTTGAAATCGGTTCAGATTTGGATAGAGCTCTTATATATATTTTCTCCCGATTTTAAGTAAATGATGCTCCAAGAACTCAAAATGTGGCCGATATGCACAAAACATACTGAAATTAGTATAACCTAAGCTGTGACAAGTTTAGATGAAATCGGTTTAGATGTCGATATGGCTTTAATACAAATTTTCGTCCGATTTTAAGTAAATGGTGCACCAAACTCCTCATGTTTATCAAATATTTATACAAATAATCAACGGGTGTCCGATTGAAATTTCCTTTAAATTGATTTACATAATTTTGTCCCATTGTAAGAAGCAACTCTATATCTGACCAAATGAAAAATTTAGTATGGGTTGCAGAATGACATGTTTGTGGATCCAATTTCATGTTAATGGTCCTTCGAAAATGCGACGTCTGTTAGGATTCATCTGTTGAAAAAAAATCCAGTGTATACTTCCAGAGGATTTCTGTAAAATTTGCAAATTTGCTACAAATTTTTTTTTAAATGTCTGTAGCGTATGAGTAACAATAGAACTCATACGACCTTGTGTTCATGAAAATAATAAAAGCTATTATAAGGGAAAAAATATTGTTTTCCAGTAGCATATTCACACACCACATAGGACATTAAATGAAACCCAAGACGTACTCCTTCTGAAGAATTTTGTTACTTGAATAAACAGGTATTCCGATATATGGAGCGTATAAGTAACGACACCACTTATACGACCTTTGTACCCAAAGAGAATTAGCAAAATTTTCCAAATAGGTTTATCAAAGCTAGCTGAATCTATACATTCAACCTGCGATTTTTATATGATGGAAGCCTATTTCTCAAATATATTTATAGGATGAAAAAAAAATCAAGTGCTCAAAAGATAAAATTTCAAGTTAGGTTTCTTATTGCCCTTGTAAACCGAATTAATATTATCAATACTTTTTGGATTTGTCATTTTTCTTTATATTGTTCGTATAGTTCAGAGGACATTTTCTGACTCCCTTCTAGAACATTTTCAAAGGTCTAGATTTTCCTCTATAAAAACTTGTAGAATTTCTGGTGAAGTTTTTATTATAGAACCTATATTCTATTCGATTCGTATACGTAGTATTTATGGAAAACTTTAGAGAAAAACAAAACTACAAAAAACCCTATTTGGAGACTTTTTTTCTAAATACATATTGGCAAGACTTTTTTCTTCTTGAAACAAATTGCAAGATATAATTATAATAATCCATTTTTTTCTATTAAAATATCGGGAATTTTCTATTTTAAAAGTAGAGAAATATTAGGCAGGCCTAATGTTCAATTTGTACTATTAAATATTATATCAGGTCCTATTTTTTCCTACAAAAGAAAAAAAATCGGTAGACTTTGTCCTATAGCATTAATTTGGCTGATATGCGGTCTATTTTTTTTCTATAGAAAAACTTTGCCTGCACCTCAGGTTCCAGTTTTTTTTTTTTTTTTTTTTTTTTTTGAAATGGACATTCCCCCAGATTATATTTTTTTAGTAAAAATAAAAATATTCGCCGGAAAAGCATTCACCAGTCCTCAGGTACTAGGGTACTTTTCTGAAGATTCTATAAAGTTTTGATAGGTAAGAAATTTAAGCATCGGTTTCTTTTTTAATAGAAAAAAGTCATAGAACCTCAGATTCACAATAAAATATTGTCAAAACTGGAAGGCCTAAAAGTATGCCATGATTTATTCACCTTAGGTCATGCGGCGTATGAGTAACGTCAAAACTTATACGCCAAATTTAATATAATATTGAAAAATGAATAGAAATGCCACAATATTAAAAAAAAGAACATTTTCAGTTTTCTGCTAAGCTTTTTCATATATTTTAATTTTTGTTTACACAGAATAATATAATTTTAATTTCCCCCTCCATTTAGTTTTGTCATTTGCGTTTGTTTGCTAAATGTAAAACTGTATTTAAAACTGTGTTCTTTGGAGATGTGACCCCTGATTCCCCAAAACCAATCAAACCACCTATATTTGCCCCCTCCGCCCCACACTCCTCCCCATATAGAACTCCAATCCTTAAATATATTTCAAAAAATATTTTTCATTACTGTTCTCCTAAAATATATCTACTTTTTTTACTTTGGAACTTCTTTATTTTTTTACGTTACTGAATGTCTGTCTATGTGTGTGTGTAAACATATAAAATTTATCAAATAATTTAATTAATTTCTTAAACCTTAAACAAAAATATAAACAAATAAATATTTTAAATTAAAAAAAAACATAACAAAAAACCAAAAAAAACATTTAGTTGTGATCAGGGCTTTTCTCAATTAAACAAAACTCAAATCATTATGGTTCTAGATTCTGCAGAATCTACAGAAAAAAAGTGCTGATCGAAGAGGGAGAATGCACAGAAAAGACAAAGATGGCATAACTAAAAGCAACCTAATTTTAAAGGTAAACCCAAAAAAAAAAAAAAAACAATCAAAAAAATTAAAAAAAAACAACAATATTAAAAAAAATAATTTTTAAAAAAAAACCCAATTTCAAATTAAATTCAAACAAAACTATTTCATTTACAAATCAATCAATCAAACAGAAAAATAAAAAATTTTTAATTGTAAAAATTAAATAATTGATACAACAAAAAAACAGAAAAACAAAACAATAACAACAATTTCTTATTATTCAGTTTTAATTTTTTTCTCATTTTTTGTTTTTATTAAATTAAATTTTTATGTTGTTTTTAATTTTGAAAAAAAAAGCTTTGTTTTGATTATATATGTTTTACAAGTAATTGTGAGTGATTTTTTTTTTAATTATTTATTAAATAATTAATTTAAAAATTAATATAATAAAAATTAATACAATAAATTCACCATTACATATTTTAAACACACAAAAAAACATATTTAAAAACTTATCTTAAACTACATAACAAATACCAGGAATGTAAACAATTTTTTTAAAACTTTTTCCCCACTTTCTATTTTAAAATATTTTTTTTCTATTTGAATTTATTTAGTAAAAATTTTGAAATCTATTAAATAACTATAATTGCTTCATTTTCTTATAATAAAAGGCTTTAAATATTTTTTGAAGAATTTTTTTTCGGAATATTTTTTTAAGGAAAGCAAATTAATTTGAAACCCTACACCATTTCAAATTTTAGAATATGTGAAAAATATTTGATAGGAAATGCAATTTTATTATTTTTTTTATAAAAATTCTCTCGGATATTCCTGATATAATTATCACTTATACGCCACCCAGTTCATGGACCAAAGCTAATTATTTTAATATTTGGCGTATAAGTGCTGACGTTACTTATACGTCACCTACTTTTAAGAACCCAAAAGTAAATTTATGGGCGAATTTGAGCTAAAAATTTTGAGAGAATTTCTCTCATAAAATATTGACAAATAAGTTCACGTATATCGGATCCAATTTTATATATGAACTAGTCACTAAACATACAGTAAAATTATAGCACAAAAATAAAGGCTATTGTTGATGGTCGAATTAAAAATCGATTCTCAGACATTAAAAAGAGAATTGTTCTAGAAGTCAAAGCCTCTAAATATGGTGTTTTACGATGAATAACGACATTTTAAGGTAAAATGAGTTTTTCCTTTAAGGGAAGGACCATTCTTTCAGCGATGTAAATAATTTGGCAGTTGAAAACTTGAAATATTATGTCCAAAAAATCAGTGAGAATAATATTTTTCAGAAGTTTCGACTTTCTGGGCATTTTTTATTTCTCTAATCAAAAAAGATGGGCTTTAATATTTGTCCTAGTATATACTTGTATTGTAGGCACCATAAACACGATCTTTCAATGCCCTCTTAAAAAATGTACCTTTAGACAAGGAAAAAAGTTAACCTATTTGCTCAAAATATGTTAGCAAAATTCTCTCCGAAAGTTATAGATCTAAATCTTCTCTCAAAATGTAATTTTGGGAACTTTTAAGCAGGTGACGTATTAGTAACGCCAACACTTATACGCCTAAAATTAAAAGCATTTAGACCATAAAACATAGATGCAAATTTTCAGTTTCGATTCTACAAATACCACCTCGTTGTGAAATTAACTTTCATTTAATTATACATCTTAAATATATTATATGTCTAGTAACATATGGAGCGTATTAGTAACGACACATCTAATTCGACACGGTGTACCCAAAGCAAATTAATGAGATGTGGTCCAAAATCTTTGGCTTGGACTTATTGAAATTAAAACCATTTAGACCATGAACTGTATCTAAATTCTCAGTCCCTGAGAGGCAATAGAAATCGGAAGAATCTCATAATCAATTGAAGAAGTTTAATTAAAATAAAATTTTTGGGTGTGAATCGAGAGGAAAATGGATAATGGTGTAGGGAAAAGAACTCACAATTTTATTAAAGAAAGTCATATGTTGGAATTCAAAATGGTAAAAGGTGATTAAATACTACATTTATTTATATATTTACAAAATAATTTTATATCGGAATTCAATAATACAACTGTATATATAGGAAAACATATTAATTAATATAGTTTCTAATATATTTAGAAACTATATTAATTAATATGTTGAGGAAAACATCTGTGGCTTGCAGGGAAAATCTATAATAACGGTTAGAAGCAAATTCATTTTTTTTAATTTTTATATATTCTAAGGTATATATCCATGGCAGAAAAACGAGAATATATATATATCACTCCTCTTGCTTCCACAAAGCAACGCCATCTTACTCGTATAGTTTCAATAATCATTGCTTTTTACTTTATAGTTGGACTGGGACTGCCATCTATCTTTGCCTAGTGTTAACACATCATTGAATGTTTGCAGTGGTTGTGGTCCATGCTTATGTAGTTTTGACTCTGTTCCTATGGATGGTGCTATCGTCTTCATACCTATTTTAGTATTATCCTCATGGTTTTCTCTTTTTGTTCATCCTTTTGTCCACCTATCTCTCCTTTTGAGACGAATATGGATTTGACAATGTATGACCATTCTAAGCAAATAGTCTTTGGGTGAATTTCGTTGTACCCTGTCTTAGGTCAATTGTAACTTGTCATAGATTATTTATACCCTGTCATAGGTAATGAGATTGCCATCTATCTTTGCCTAGAAATAATGCACTCCCTTACTTACTGAGTGTTGAAATTTTCAACTGGATGGCGTTATCGCCTGTTTTTCCTATTTTCGTATTGCCTTCATCTGTATCAAGTGTACTTATTACATTGTCAGAGAGATTCCGATTGTCCGTCTCCTTGCTGATATATTATTTACGGCTGTCATTCCTTTCGGGAGAATAGGTTTTTGACAAAGTATTAGCATTCTAAGCGATAAGTCGTTGTGTGAATTTCATTGCACCCTGTCTTAGGTCAATTGTAACCTGTCTTAGGTGATGGAACTGCCATCTATCTCTGCATAGAAACAACGCACCCTCCTGCAGTTTTGCCATTTTCCTCTGGATGGCGCTATAGCCTGTTATTGCTATTTCCGTGTTACCCTCATCTTTCGATGTTGATGTCAAGTTTACTTATTACACTGTCAGAGGGCTTCCGATTGTGATATACTATTTCCGTCCGCCACTCCTTTCGTGAGAATAGAGTTTTAGACAAAGTATCACCATTCCAAGCGATTAGTGCTTATATGAATTTCGTTATTATTATTTTCAGTTAAGTAGACTAATTAGAACATTGATCGGCGGCAGCATGTCCTAGATGATAGTGGTGCCATCTACGTTGCCTAGAAACAATGAATACTTCAATTGTGTGTGCAGTGCTGGGGGTCCTTGCCTATGTAGTAGTGTTACCATATACCTCTGGGTGTCAGGGTACTTCAGATACTTTTTTCCTCTTTAAATAATATTCGAAAAACATTTTGAAAAATCGAAACGTTTGTGATTCGAACCCAAGACCGTTCGGTGCTTTTTTGTGCCACACTCTCAACGACACTGCAAACCATATTTATATATTCTGAAAGTACGTTTCAAGATTTTTTTTCACAATTAACCGCTTGGGGACCCAAGTGTGTCTTTGCTAAGACCAATTTAAAATTTATTTTCAAATCCTCCTATCAAAAATTAAAAAAAAAAAAAAATCAATCGATATTTATAAAATGCTTAACATGAGTCCGCATTTTCGGTCAGTCAGCATTTTTTAGCCGCATTTGGAATCACAAAGGCTGTTCTTTAGCCTTCTTCGTAGAACAAATTTAATATAGGACTATGATTCTATAAATAGGTTTATAGGAGTGTTTTTAATCGTAAAAAATCATACGCAGAAAATATTGAGTTATTTTCAAATTTGCCATGATATTTGAAATATTTGGCTTTTAATTTAATTGTGTATTTAAAAATACTTTATTTTACTACTATGAATTATATATATATATATAGAAACTTCAACATATATATACTATATATATATATATATATAAACTACTATTTAGTATTACTGAATTCCGGTATATATTTTTTTCAAAGTTGTCAAATTGAATTCCAACACAATACAGTATTATATACATATTTTTTAAATATTCCGTCATTTCTTTTCAATATTAAAATTAACCAAAATTCTCTCAAAGCTCTTCCTCTAAATGATTATAAATTTAATTTTGGAAACTTCGAAGCAGGTGGCGTATGATTAACTTCAACACTTATACGCCTAAAATCAATACAAATTATATTTAGTCCGTGAACATTGTGGCGCATAAATGATATTTAGACAATAGAAAGACAATAGACAATAGAACAGACAATAGAAATCGCTGCAGAATTCTTTAAATAAAATTGCCTCTCAAAGTTCTTGCTCTAAATGATTAGAAATTTAATTTTGGTAATTTCGAAGCAAGTGGTGTATGATTAACATCAACACTCATACGCCTAAAATTACAAAATAATCATATATAGTCAATGGCGTTTAAATGATATTTAGTCCAAGAAGAATCGCTGGGAGAGAGTTACTGTAAAAATTATTTAGCTTCTGAGGCGATAGAAATTACTATAGAATTCTTTTGATAAAAAATTCTCTCAAAGTTCATGCTCTAAATGATTATAAATTGAATTTTTGAAATTTCGAAACAAGTGGCGCATGATTAACGTTAACACTTATACGCCTAAAATTACAAACAAATGATATTTAGGCAATGGCGTCTAAATGATATTTAGTCCAAGAAAAATCACTGAGAGAATTTCATAATTGTTTTTTATACCCATATATGCTACCGTAACTGAGGGTAGATGGGTAAACACATGTTCTCTTTTTTCACCTTAAGTCAGTCGTTTTTAATGGTGAATTCTCAGTTATGCTCGCACACACTTGCTCTCAATTTAGTTTTGCCCAACACTGTTCTGGGGCGATAGTATTTATCTTTAGATGAAAAATTTTCTCACAGCTCTTGATCTTAATGATTAGAAATTAAATTTTGGGAACTTCGAAGCAACGTCAACACTTATAC